AAACCTCAACAAACAAGCGAATATACATAAACAAAGACTGTCACTTTACTTTCTCGCAGTCGGTTAGTGCAAAAGCGTATGACCAAATACAACATAATCGCACGCTAAATGATCGATCATGAAGCTGGTTAATCGTTCCCAGAAACTAGCTGTATTAAAATAAACAAGTACTCTAATAGGGATCCACACCCAACAATACCCACATGGGCCCTTAGACTAAATTGGTTTTCGTGGACTAGCCTTCTGCGATAAAGTGAAACACCAACGAAAACCAAATGTTCGCCCCGTGACGTTTGAAAGATGTTCCTGTCGATTTTATCTTTTCCATTGCATAAATCATGCAGATAGGTAGATAGGTAGAAGTGATAAATTCCACAGTTTAGACTTATTTTAAAGCCACTTTGTTGTATTTACAACCGAAAGTGAGATTCTGAGAGGAATGTGAGGGTGGTTCTCGGAAAATGGGGAACTAAAGCCAGAAGTGGAACAGATTTGGAAAATTCTTTGATATGCATGACTCGATGGCTACACGAGGTGATGATACGCTACTCTATAATTATTATGACACCGTTCACTTTTGACAACAGTTGTAACATAACAATTAAGAAACATTGGGTATCAAACCAAACCTGATTTATAAAATAAAACAACATACTTGTGTGGCGATCCCAGCATGATCACAACCCGGAAGCCACAATGTGGTTCGCCCGTTCATCCTATGCCAACGCGTGATTGCATCTTCGATACTGTTCGTGAGCGCATGTCCCAAATGCAAATTTCCAGTCACATTGGGCGGAGGAATGACCATAACAAACTTCTCATTGGGAATTCGACGAAACTGTGATGTATTTTGGAGAGAAAAGAAATCAACTTGAAAGAAAGAAACGTATATCCGAAAGTACAAAATCAATGCTGTACCCCCTCCTCCTGGAGCGTAATCCCGAAGGGCGGTCACCTGGTGGTCGGGCCTTTTACCCACATAAAACATGGCACTTAATCCTGTGTTAAAAACAGTTCGTAGACCCTCCTTTAGTAACAAACGTTGAGTGAGCGTGTGTGAACACCTTGGGATAAAGGTGCGAGAAGCACAACAGTTAAAAACTAAAACACAATGTGATGGTGACAATGGTCCAATCTCCTTAGACTACCTTTTTCAAGTCAACTGACTTGAAACGGGACTTCCAAAAAGATCACCTCATTACACAGTCGTATGCAGTAAACCGGATAAACCCGATGGTCCCGAAGGATTACTGTTCGTTTGTGGAAACCAGCACTATCCGCCCAAGGACTTGGAGCGGCGAACAATATAAGATCCCGATAAGTTATGCGTCGTGTTAAGCCGGAAGACAGCAAAAACTGCCCAGCACTAAAGTTGGCTGGTAGTAGCGGGATTCGAACCTCGGTCCTTAGGACCCAAGGCACGCTAGTGACAGCAACTTAAACCGCTCGATCACGCAACAGAATTATTTGACAGTGCTAGTGGATAAAATGTGCTGCCGTGCATACTATTGTTTGTAACGGCACTTTTACCGTTTGCTCTCACAGGTGGCCGGACTACCAGGTGCACTTGATATAATCACATCGTATTCTTTTCTATCCCATACAAAATGAGTTAAAGTACAAGGAAGAAACGCCATACTCAAAAGGCATCGTACAAGGAGATTCCAGTTACCGATTTTGCTTTTAAAGAACGAGGAATTTAAATGAGATGAAAAGACACAGTGGGGGAGTGTTCCATAACGTGACGATTGGGGGAAAGGAAGACTGAAAAGTAAAAGTAAGACATGTAGTGACTGAAACCTGATCAGGTTGACTGACCATCTGCGTACGGGATGGGTGAACAAAAGCTACAGGAAGAGGAACTGATGAGACAAGTTCCAAAAAACGAAACCCTGAATAGTAACTGTGGCGAGTAGACAGGGAGGCAAGTGCCCAGTGATGGGTTAGTGACTGCGGACTGAAAGCTAAGGAAGGATCGTCAATCAGCTGGATGACCCTCCGTTGAGCACGATTAGGATGAAGAGCAGAAAACGAAGCCTCGTCACACAGGTGATTGCATTACTAAAGTGCAGGGTGGATATGAGCTTTGTACAGCAGGAGAAAATAAGTTGGGATAATGAAACGTCTGAGGTGGAACAGAGAATCAAACTTGTACGCCGTTTTATATATTTTTTTAATTTATTTTCACGCACGTCCGAGGCCAGACTGTGTGCCAAACAAATCATAATACAATAATCTTGACGAAAAAGAAGTTCCACAATTTGCAAATCATGTGCGCTGTGTGAGAAGGGGACAAGAATGACTCGTTATAGAGAAAACGAGAAAAGAAACAGAATTGGAGGGACGCAGTTGGGTAGAATCAGAAGAAAATTGTCAGGAAAATGAATGGTGTTCGAGAACTGTTGAAGGTTTCTGGAATCACTGAATGCAACATGCTATCGTTGTCCCAGGAGATGTGTTCCAGATCAGAGTACGGGAGTATATTAAATTCACGACCGTTATGATCCATTTTGATGTTGGCATGGTGAGAGAGGGAATCGTGAAAGGTGGCATCCCCGGGAATAGAATAGATTGGGTCGGTTGTCTTGAAACAATAAGTGGTAAAAAGAAAAATTAGCATTGGGGAACTAAGCATCAACAAGGAATGGCTAAGGTTGAACCCAATCAACTTGGACGGAGAAGATTAGCTTACTGAAGAAACTTGATATTCACGATACGAGTGCTGGTGGGAACCCGAAAATAGGCAGCTCCAATAGTAGACCTTCGGGTGAAACGGGGTAAGTAAGGAAAGACCAACAGTGTTTCTGCGTGAGTTTTGAGTGCAACCGAGTAGAATTGTGGTACAATAGCCTCCAAAAGCCTCAGTATGGTCGGGGGTGGGTGTATAGGGTTGCGGCTTGCACCTCATGAAACGCTCCCATACGACCAAGCGTTTCGAATAGCCTCTTCTGAGGAAGTCCTACTCACTGCCTTCTCGTGGCGGAGGTGTTTCCTCACCAAAGTGAGAGGACGAAAAGTCGACATCCGGAGCCATAACCGGGTTGGTAGAACATTGGTAGTTCACCTAGGGGAGTTGGCCAAAAACACTGATTCCAAACCAACCTAGAGGAGGCGTTTGAACCACACACACAACTTCCTGGTTGGTTTGAGGTGCATTGGGCATCTTGGACGTTTGACCCCGTCCAAAGGGCTTGTGATCCGATGAACCGGACACCGGTCCTCAATGGACTGCGGTTTTCGCACGCTGCCCCGCTGGCTTGCCGCTCAGGCTTTGGTCAACCGAAGGCTCCGGTTATGGATNTCCCCAAGAAAATTCACCTGCTTTGGCCTGGGCAACGTGGCAGTATTCTGTCCACATGCAAATCATGGAGCTGGTGTGAAACTGATGCTGTTAAGATAGATCGCGTGATGGTGGATGACCAGCGACATAGTTCACATGTGGATTCAAAAATTAACAATCAAGTTGTTCTGAAGCAACGATCGTTTCGTCCAGTTAGATAATTGTTCGGCCCATCCCGGAATATAACTAAGCAGTGTGAATTTAGTGTTTTGCCGCCAAACAGCAGCTTTTGGTTTCAGGCATAATTCAACAAATAAAGTTGGATTACAGAAAAAGGCTCTGGACACAAGGAGCCAACCTAACGGATAATAATGCTAGTGGATAAAACTATTTCAGCAAGTAAAAAACGAAATAGCTTTCATGTTTCAGATCGTCAGATCAATCTTCCGGACGCAATGCACTGGGTTAAACAAGGTTCGAGCCCCGCCACCGCTACCCGACTTAGGTGGCAGGCAGCTCTGCTGTCATCCGGTTCAATACCATGCCTAACCTACCGGGGCCTTATGTGGTTCGCCAATCCAAGTCCCGAGGCTTATGTTATCCGTTTACACCACTGAACAGCAGGTCCTATTGAACATTGGGTTCGCCCCGACTGCTGTTCATCACACTTAGGTGTGTGATATAAGAAATCCTGACAAGATGTCAAACACTCGAATATCCTCAAGGGTTTTAAAAAACAGCAGTATTTCTGAAGAATAAAAATTAAGTTTAATGTTTGGACTACCCAAGTAGTGTGACAAATTACCAGGAACTGATGACGTTGCTTTCGGATGCATTGCCACTGGGATATTACGTTACACATTAAAAGAAGACCAGACGGTAGAGAACAAGCCCGTCTGCGGTAATTCATCCACAGGTTAATACATCATTATTGATATCGAAAAGTTTAGTCCGTGGGAGGTACAGTTCCAGAATCTATATTCCCAAATGTCAGACCTGGTTCCGCGTTCGTCACTTGATGCGGAGGACCTGAAATTAACTGTGGTCAACATGTGCCATTAAATACTCGGAAGTAACCCATTGACAAAAGAGTTAATAACCGCACAACACCGGGGACGGTTGAAGGAGCTGAGGGAAAACCGAGATGTCATTCTGTCGAGGCCAGATAAAGGTGATGGAATGGTTCTTTTCAATAGATCAGGCTAAATCAACAACATGAAGAGCATGAGTGACGCCAGGAAATTTCATAATATAGCCGGAGAAAGATAGAAACAGAACACAGAAAAATCAGTCGAAAACGCTCCAGTGCCTAAAGCAGAAGGATGTAATGGACACCGCCATGTTTGAACAAATCCGAACAACTGGAACGATAATTCGAATAATCTATGGCTTATCAAAGATACATAAAAATGGAGTGCCTCTCCGACTGATCCTGGACATGTGTAACTCCTCGTAGCACGCCATGGTGAAGTGGCTGGTAGCGATCCTGGAACCGGAGAGAGCACAGCTCACCAATTATAAATTAAGGGATTTCGATGATTTCGTTACCGGAATTATAGACTAAAATGAAAACGGATTACGCATATCACTCGACGTCAGTTTCATTTTCACAAATGTTCTTATTGCTGACACTATTGAATACATACGTGATCTCATGCTTACTTTACTTTACTGCGGCTGGCTCCTTAGAAAAGATAAGCCGGCTCCAGACATGATTATGAAGTTACTTGGGAGTTTGGCACTAGAGACGTCCCCAGTGTCATTCGGCGTTTTATTTTATTTTGAGGGCGCACTTCTAGCCTTTGAACAACCAAGTGCGAACCGCAAAGCAGCAGGAAGTAATCTCTCACCTCGGAAGTGAGGGGGTCAATGACTTTAGTTTTAAAAGGCCAATCACATCAACCTTTATCACGACACAGTCATTGGGCTTGTGGCTTTTAAACAGGAACCAGGTGACCAGCCTGAAACCCACCACATCCTGGTAGTGCCGCCGCTGTTTGTTCGCGGCTGTTTATTTGTTGCGGTATGCCACAACTCATTCACAGCTAACCTTCTTCGATGAAGGTATCCCCCGTATCCACAAGCCGGGGACGCGCCTGGTAGCATTCACCTCTGCTAAGCTCGACGGCATTCAGGTATCGGAATACCGGTTAGTGATCTTAAACAATTGTAATACTTGTGCGTACACAACGTACAATTTAGATGCAACGACGAACTTTATCGTCAGATAGATGGGGTAGCAATGGGGTCTGCTTCGCAGATGTCATCCTGGCCAAGCTGGAGAATAGCATTCAGAAACGAACAATCGATCGCTGCGCATTATACAAGTGGTACGTGGACGACATTTTGTGCATTGTCGATGGCGGTGTGAATCTATCAAGGCTCTCAAAAGTATTTAACTCAGTACAAATTGAACGAAGAGAATGAACAGATCGCGTTTCTGGACGTTTTACAAAGTCCTCGATCGGATGGAACAATTGAGCGCAGCATACACAGGAAGCCATCGCGATATGATCAGTAAAGCCCTTTTCAAAAGTTATATGCAACTGGAATGGAAAAGCAACCTAATTCAGTGCCTCACAACTAGGTCGCGAAGAATATGTACTGATGACACTATAGAGAGTGAGCTGAGGTGTATCCGAGAGATATTTCTTCATAACGGATACCCAGAACGTTTCGTGGACAATATGTTGATGCGTCACCGGTTGCCAAATAAGATCACTGCTACCGAGAAGAAACCGGCTTGTATATCACTACCGTTTAAGGATGACACGGCTGTTCCAATTGTGACACGTAGAGTACAGCTGTGGAAAAAAGCATTCCTCGCAGCAAAACTTCTCATTGTATTCATCTCCGGACTATTTTGGCGCTTTCAACTCAAAGATTAATTGCCCGTTTCTGCGGTCGCCTTCTGTGTGCATATCGTGTATAACACTCTGCCTGTTGCATATCTCTGTATTCATAACATTTCTCTTTTATACGTTTTAGCCTATATGCCAGAGTTGTTAGACGAATAAACATTTCCGGTTCTCAGTCTTCTCTCTCTAGAGCAACTACCGACTGTCGTCACCTCGTATTCAGAATATAACAGTGCAGTTGTTTACTTTATCATGTGAGACAAGTTGTATTGGCCGCACGAGCGGACGTTCATCTGAACAAGTCCCCGAGCACTGCCTGGTCTTGCTGAATAGTGGGGTGATTCGGACTATCAACAGTATCATCGTTTCACACCCAGTGGAGTCAAACCACGTGGTTGATGTGGCCGATGCGTTTTGACCCATCTACATTGTTTGCAGTCGTCGATCTAGGAGTAGCATTCTGGCCACAGCGGAAGCGATCGGAATCCGCCTACGTAATCTCCTACTCTCTATGCTCCAAAAACACTTCGTAAGAACAAT